ATATATATATATATATATATATATATATATATATATATATATATATATATATATATATATATATATATATATATATATATATATATATATATATATATATATATATATATATATATATATATATATATATATATATATATATATATATATATATATATATATATATATATTGCATACAAAATTTTATTGAATTGTTCTTATCTTTCGGCAGATGTTGAAATCGATAGGCTAGATTTGTCGATTCAATTACAAACTGATGACTCTATCTCAAATATAATACTACCACCATGTAACAGGGAGGCGAGTAATGTCAAAGATGTATACAATATATATGACATTATTCCAAGAAGTAAACTGGAAATGTTATATGAACATGCAATGGAAGTTCTTAATGGAAATCTAGAAGGGTAATTTAAATTTCTTTCTAAGTTTTTGTCTATATTTGTCTATTCTTATCTATATCCAAATCTGCAATGCTATTATACGACTACATCTTTCTGATTATATAGGAAGAGTACATTTTTTACACATGCTTTAAAATGTATTCAATCGGATCCAGACAATGTAAACAAGGTTGCTCTCTTAATCTATATTGAAATGGTTAATACATGGTGCGACATGTTATTGAAGGATATGAAGAAACGCGACGTTGTCGTGTGTCCAGTTTCTGAAGAAGTGAATCAGCACATCATTGACACATATAGCGTGCCCAGCGCGAACGGACTGTAAGTTTCAATTAAATGCATCAGTTGTAAGAAAAGAAATTTTAAGAGAATTTCTTTTACAGAATGAGGCCAAATATTATGAAAGATAAAGGTCTTGTACACTGCTTGATCCTTGCACTGATAATATCAAACTTTGAACTGGATCTTGAACAGTTTCGAGTTATACTTAAAAGGAAAACCGGTCTGAAAAAACTGATGAATTTTGTGAAAATCATTGGAGCAGTATCTTCTAAGAAGGATAAGAATATCATTATGCTTAAAGTTCCATTGCCTTCTCCAGTGTCTCTCGTTCAAAGAGGAAAGAAATCAAGAAAATCCATTCAATGATTTGATGAATTATGCAAAAATTTTATTTCTATATGATTGACAATATAATTTTATTTTTTTAATGTCTCAAGTATGTATATGAAAGACATTTTGTACAGTCATAAACTCGTGTTGATGAACTATGTAAATACATGAAATATACATATTTCATTATTATTACTCTGACATGAATTTAATAAAAGAATATACAAATTGCATTTTACATATCTTTTGAAGAAATTTGAAGAATATTGTTAAAATCACAGATAAGAGATTTTTTAATTGTTAAAATCACATATGAGATTTTTTTTCAAGTATACTAAATAAATTATTTTAAGTATTTAAATCAAAAAAATTTTTTTTTTTTTTGAAATTTTTCGCACATTACTCTTATCGACTCCATGCTAATATTGTGATTGTATCTGGCTTATCCTTGACATCGTAAAAGGTTAGGGAAGCGTTTAGAAATTGAAATTATCGTCTCACACAGATTTTCTAACTTGTTTCGAAATAGCAAACTGTTAATCACACAATTACGCTTTTCCGCATAAGAATCCAATATCTTGAACTTATACACACGAAATAATAATCTTTCGATATGATAGCCTTATTGAACGCGCGACTGTTAGAGGGAAGGGGAGGCAATCACGTTCGAAAGTGCATATCGCGCGTTGTGAAACACAGAGATTTATCCACTGCTACTTCGAAGAGAGCAAAAATGGTAAGCGAACCATTAAAATTTTTCAGTTAAAGAAAAAAGAATGTTTAAATCGAATGGCAAGGAAATTTCGAACAATTAAAGACGTTTTGATATAGATTTACTTGTGTTCGAACGAATCATTTGATAGTGAAAGTGGTACAGATGCTGCCGACCACTTGTTACACAAAATATTGCCGTTCTTGCGTATGAATATGTATATTAATAAAAAGTTTATCGCACGTTAAAATATTACCATATCTCGCGACTGAAATTCGCGATCGCGTAAAATAAAATAATCAAACCACCTTTGATTGTATAAGAGAATGTGTATTGCATATTATAATTTAAACACACACACACACACACTAATATTTTTTGTTAACTATATGTATTGATTTTATTAGAGTAATAAACTTACTCCGGAGGAAAGAGAGCAGAATTTGAATCCACTGCTCTCATCAGGATGGACTATTCAATCGGACAGGGATGCAATCTATAAAGAGTTTGTATTCAAGAATTTCAATGAGGTGTGTTGTATGCATCTGTTAATATTTATATACAATCATTATGTTACTTACAACATAATGAGTTGTTTACAGTTATACTTGTATATTTTAATTTCTAGGCTTTTGGGTTTATGACAAGAGTGGCCTTACAAGCTGAAAAGATGGATCATCATCCTGAATGGTTCAATGTTTACAATAAAGTAAATATTACTCTGTCTTCTCACGATGTGAATGGTTTGTCACAGAGGGATGTGAAACTGGCAACTTTTATAAACAAAGTTGCTGACAAATAAAACTCATTTGACTTATCTATTCTGACCTGTTAGAGCACTATCTATACATATACTTATTATATATATGTTAATGACAATAATGAGAGAAATATTTGTTATTACTGATTTGTAACATAAATATTATTATGTAATAAATTACCTTTCTTTAGCCCATTATACATACATATATTCTAAACTGCACATTTTTACAATATATACTCAGATTAAATATTTAACAGATTAAAATTACAAATAGCATAAGAAAAAAACACAATACATTTTATTATATGGTAAATAATTTATTCCCGAATAATTTACAAGCTATCATCTCTTTCAAAAAGTTCTTCATATACTAACAAACAAATTATTTGTGTTTAGTGATAACATCTAATTAGATCTGTTTCTCTCTGTCTTTACCTATTGTCCAGCCCTGTTTAATGATCTTTGTAAGACCAGGACCATTATAAATTAGCACAAGCAGACCAGCGAGAGTTGCGGCAGATAGTAGATTTAACATGAAGAACGCCACTTTTGGTACTACTGTGCCTACCACAATGGGCCGTGCATAATCGAGTATGATAGCTTCCAATCCCCTGAAATAAATTTATTCTCTTGAGTTTTCTATCTTACATATGCAAGAGATTTGTAGGAAGATAAATTTAAAAAAAGCACAAATTAACATCATTGAACAGAGAAAATTTATTACCAATGCGTGTGCATGACGACGGCAGCTGCCAATATTATATCAATAAATTTATTTTCGAAGAGCAGAGCGGCAGGTACTAGTGATAAGAAAGATGCAGACACTATTCTTTCTATCAGCCATACGCGTACGTGATCACCATGGGTACTTGCCACACGAGTTTGAGTCACACTGACTGTTGATTGTACAGGAAACTGGAATGAATAGAATGAATACAATAAAGTATTTTGTATAGATGTGTGTTTACTCTTATCCCTTTTAGAAAATTTTGTTATAACTACCAACCTTGGACAAGATACGGCATTTTGAATAATTCTTTGCATTAGGTATTATGCAACGATTCAGATTTGCAAGACTTGAAATAGATTTGGGGAAGGTTTGTGTTGGATTATATTTGCATATCTGGAGTAAACTAGCAGGTTTGACCAATGTCTCTGCAATAAAATCATAAATTGGCGCACTACAATTTTAACTGTATGTTTAATCATTATTTTTTTTAAATATATATATAATACTATATTATATGCTGCTACAAGAATACTCTTTATTAATATTATAATAAAAAATGAACCTTAACTTACAATAAAACATAATTAAAACGTTTCGAGAAAAATATATCCATTGATTGAAACTTTCTATACACTTCCTGCTCATTAGAGAGATTATGTAAAAGCATTTCTAGGTTATGTGAAGAAAATTCAGTCCAACTCACAAAATAAAGCAGATGCACGCTCGAAACTGTCACAGATTTCAAATAAAACTTACCAAGCTGTCGGACCTTGCGGAAAATGTTAACGTTAGCCACTCTTCCTAAATTCATTTTACACCAAAATCGCTTGTATCGTGTTTGACGTTAACTTGGATCAAGAGATAAGAGACAACCGCTCACAGCGATCGATTTTTATTCGAAACAACTCGCACCTATTAGAATGAAAGTAGATTTTCTAAAAAGAAAGAATTTTAATTTATGCATGTACATAAATATTTTTTCAATTAAATAAACATTCTTTTTACGTACACTTCTGCATAATCTCTACATTTAGGTTGCGTTCAAAAATCTTACCCGTAAGATAGAGTAGCATTTAATTGACCAATCAGGACAAAGAAATCTTCGCTCCTTTTGTCTTGATTGGTCAATTAAATGTTACTTTACTCCACTGGTAAGATTTTCGAACGCATGGTAGCAGCGTATGTTTCGTAGAAAGAGAAAATGTTGCAATCGGTATGTTGCAGATTCAATGTGAATAAACACGTATTATATATATATTATAGAAATATTTTATTAAAATAATTTATCTTTTGTCAAGCTGACATGTGTAACAACATTATAGATCAGTCATAATAAATAAAAAATTGTTTTAAAACGAATGGTCCTGTTCACGTATTGTTTCAGACTCTCAAACAATTTCAGATTTGATACGTTACGTTAATTTACGTTAGCGAACCACACGAACGAAGAATATTCTTTAGATATGGAGAGATTCAAGAAGATCGATTGGTATGTATAAATCGAGTGTCAATATGTATAGGATAAAAGAATTATTCCTCTTCTGTTCATTGTATAATTTGTATGATTTGAGCATATGTATATGTATGATTTGTATATAATTTGATAATTAAACGATTGTCTCTATAACATGTGCTCTGAAACTGATCGCAGAATATATATATATATATATATATACACACACATGCATCTTGCATTTTATAATTATTAAATATGACTCGACTACAAAACACATTATTGTAGGAATCCTGCATTAGAAGATATAATAGACGATGTATTCATCAAGGACGAGAGATTAGAGCAGGAGAGTGCAATGTACAGGATCATGAGAGATGATTTTACAGATCCGTTTGAAGATATTGAACAAGATTATGCTAATGTTAATATGGAATTAATACAAAAATTTCTCTCCGAAGATCCTCTCACTGATTCAGAGGAAGAAGAGGAGCAGAAAACCGACGACAGAAAAAGAAACAGAAAAAAAAAGGACATTGATATCGATTGTAAACAAAACCAAGAAAAAAGGCCGTATCTCCCTGGCATAAGAAAATTACCATTTAATTTCCCTAAAAGATCTTGTTTGACTAAGGCGGAGCAGAATATGTGTCTTCGTGTTTTATTGAAATTCAGCAATAAACAAAAGGAGTTGAGCAAGGAAGAACAATCAGAGATGGAATCTTACATAGTATGTAAATAAAGATAAATATTGTTTATTATAAATTTCTCTTAACAATGTCCTTTTTCCAAATAGAATTAAAACAAAAAAAAAAAGAAAATGCATTAATTAACTTTCAGTTATGAGTATAGTTTGATAAGTTTTTACTGTGTGACTTGTGCTTCTAAATAGGAATCAACTTTTTCTAGGCATTAAAAGACAAAATACTTGAAGAACAGAAAGAATTTTTAAACTTTGCCAAGAGCAAATGGAATGATAGTTTCAATTGGCCGATTAAATATAACAGATTTATAATATCTAAATGGAACACAAAGATGAAGAAGTTTAAAAAATTACCTAGATATTATATTGAATCTAAAAATATATCACTTTCGATGCAAAAAATTAATTCCACGTTTAATAAAAGCATTGAAATAAAATTTATATCTTGTTTACATCAATTAGTGAGTTATTATGAAACAATCATTGACGTTTAATTAATCAAATATATTAAATTTGGATGTATTTATCATTTCTTATCATTTTAGGGATCTTTTTCTAAGGTGATGTGGCCAAAGCTCGATCGGCCGAGTATGTTAAACGTAAAACCTGCAATATTGTTTAGCAAATATCAATGCGTCACACCTAACAAAGTGACGCAACATTTCAGATTACCCGTGAGCGACGATACATATTGCGAGAAACTTGCGATGGAAACCAAAGCGGATTTTGTTATCTCATCTAGTGGCCTTAAATGCCTACTAAACACTGATTCGTATTACTTGAATTCGTGGATCATACCGATTGTAATAAAATCGCATAATGGGAAAAATGTTGTCTACATCGATAAAAAAATACCGTCCAGCCTTGCCACAATACCGCAAAAAAACACTTGGGTATACAAGTACATCCTTAGGCACTGTTTTGCCGGTGCTAATAATGAAATGTTTAAAGAAAAGTGAGAGTTACAAAGTATAATAACATCATATAACAAAATTCGGATATATTATGAATGTATTATAATTATTATTTTAGAATGCAACACACAGAAGAGAATAAACCTGAAAAAGCTGCAGTCCATTCGGATATAGGCAATATTGATTTGGAATGTAGTGCTGAATTTAATGATTATCTTAAAATCTATGAAGAAGATTTGTATTCCGCAAATGCGGAAAAATCGGAAAATTTGGATGATCTAGCAAATGACAACGAGACAAACGATACCAAAACAAATGTAATGTACAAGCTTTTCACAATAGGGCCAATGGAATCTTTGAATTATGAATTGGGCAAACATGACGTGAAGACATATCAGATGTTGGTTCGTACGAAAATGGATGGCACAGAGGTAAGGATATCATTATAAGGTAATATTATTTACACTGTATTAATTAATAAAATTCATTAATTAATAAAATTCATTAATTAATAATCAGTATCAAATTGTGATACAAAAGTAATCATTTTTGCCAGGTATTGCCAAATGGAAAATCACAGTATGTAATGTTAACACCAAAAATGGAGCACCAGTTAGGATTTGGGGCCGAAGCCGTAACATTTGAAGAAGTATCACATCAGTGGGCGTCATTGATATTTAGACCAGAGACTTCGTTAGCTAGAGGTATTATTTCACAATTACATGAATAATTATATTGTAAAATTATTATATCAAACAATCATTTTTGTATTATTGTAGTCAGGATAGCAGCAGATACTTCAGAAATAATACAAATAGAAAAACACACTACAACATCATTAAGCAACGAAATGAGAAGACTTTATAATGTTAAAATAGAAGATTCTTTAAGTATTCTGCATAATATAATTGAAGGATTATCATCCTTGACTCCTGGTCGATATATTATGCGCCATGTTCCACAAAGAGGACCATTTGCATATGTTTATAAACAAGTTGGAGAACCTGAGTAAGTATAATGAATATAACAATCTCCTAATCTGTAAAAAAAAAAGTATATATGCATCAAAATATAAAGTTTTTCAAGGGAGTATATGTTTTGAAAATATATTTTTTCAGGAAAAATGTTTTTGATTTACAAATAGTTTGCCAATCTGCAATGTTTCAAACTGTACCTAAAACACCGTGGCCACACATTGACACTATATTAACAACACCAGCAATAAGGCACTTCAAGAAAATGCCTGCAATGTTTAACGCATATCAATCTTTTTCTGGTCAACCTAAAAAAAAGCCCAAAAAGATTGATTTTACCAAATCAGGTCAATAATATAATACTTAAAAAATTATAGCAAAATTGGAATACTGTAGAACCATTCTGATATCCGAGTACCATATAGTTAATATTTTATATCTATATACATTATATTATCTTATTCTCTCAATTATAACATAATCAGTTACCTGATGACGATAATTAAATTAATAGTTTAACATACTTGACTGATCGTGTATTAAAATATCTTTGATAAGAATTCTTAGAAATAATAAATTAAATGTGTTTACTTGAATTGAATATATGATAAATATCGTTTTTTTGTGTGCAATAATAATTTGCTTTACATAAATGAGATATTTACTTTAATACGTTTCATTAATTAAAGTGTGTGAAATTAACTATAAAGTATGAATATCTTTCTGTAGGATCTTCCTCTTTTGTTTGAAACAAGAATATTTCCTACAATGTTTACATCATAAATATGAGTTATGATATTTCATTTTAAAGCATTTGACATTACACAAAAGATATATATAGATATATATATACAATATAGTCGAAAATATGAAAAGAGAAAGAAGAAACTGTAACTCTAAAAACGATATATATATCAAAATTTATAATAAATTCTCTAATGAAGGATTTAAGGCGGTTATTTTCATAAAAGTCTGTATAAAGTTTTTCAGGAATTTTTAAATTAATATGATAAAATATGTATGACATTTTTAAAAGATCAAAGAAAAAAGAAACTTCTATTATTGTCAAAAAATATGTCAACATATTAATCATTTTGGATTAACCAAATTAAAGTTTTACAACTTGAGATGAAAAGTTTTTGAAGAAAGAAAACTATCATCTCTCTGTACTTTATGTTATCCCAGGCAAAGTGATTGAAAACATATATTGAAATGTTTACAAGTTTTATCAGTGAAAAAATTTGATACAAAGTTTCCATATATGATGTTGCTGGCTTTTAGCAATATAGCAAAAATTCGTTAATAAAAAAACAGCAGATTGATGATAAAAATTAAATGGACTCAGTTTAATATAAATTGCCGGTAAAAATCGAGCAAAATCTTTGTGTTCGACAGATTCTGCTATATTTCTATTGTCACAATATATGTGTGTGTGTTGCATATTATATTCACAAACTTTACTAAGTTTAATACAGATTTGATTGAGAGCAAGGATTGATTGTAGCAATCTGCTATAATGTCTGCTTTGCAATCTTCTAACAGATTGCTGAGATTTACTTATTGGAGAGAGGAGGATCCTTTTTAAATATGTGTATATAATATTATATATGTATGCATATAATATATATATTTNNATATATATAATTGTTATATGTGTCTATATTTTATTCGTATTTTTGTATAATCGTTTTACAAAATAAATAAAGCCCAAAGTATATATCCGTAGTATAAATATGCAAAAAAATTTTCTGATATCTGGACATTCGATTATCCAGACACGTTTATTTATTAATTCGGATAATGGAGGTTCTACTCTATTTCCATTAATATTATATCGAATATGTAATACTCATAAGATGTATATTGAATCAATCTCTTCTCATTTCTAGCACCTCGAAGAAGTCTTCGGCTAAAAGAAGTGAATGAAAAGTAAAAGATAAAATGCAACAAAATTTTTTTTTAAATTTTCGTTTCGAGAAGAGTTTTGCTCTTTCCAAATATCTGTTGTTTATTTTATAATCCATTCTTTACTTCTATTCTTCATTATGCTCTTACAATGCCCTTTCTTTTGCACTGCTCTTCCTACTTTACACAATCATGAAATTAAAATCGCATAAATCTTTGACACATACATTGATATACAATACGGTAAAAAGCAATGCAAGGGAAGAGTAAAGCGAAGAATATTTAATTACATGTGCAATTGATGCAGTATAAAGTATATAACTATAATTTTGTTCATATATATATATACAAAGTATAATATGGAGAGGATCAAAGGATAAAAAAACATCTAATAGTTCCCACTATTACTCTAATGGCATATGTGCAGAAAGAAAATGTTTTGTTTTTTATTTGCTGTTTGATTTTAAATAAGAAAAGAAAGAAGGTATAATTATATAGGGGAAATGTTAGTGGGAAAAACACTGAAATTTACTTTATTGATGTTATTTGATTTATAATTTTGTCTATACATGTTTATAATCTTCATTAATGCATAATTAAATAAGTATATTAAAGGTAAATAAACTTTCAAATAAACTTATGCTTTGACATGCATATATTGAATATTTGAATTTTACTTTTTTGTTGGATTACATTATTTACAAGTTATTGTTATTTATAATATTGGGACTTGTTGATATGTATGTATATTTTTTCTTTATATATACGTGACACAAGGCAAGAAAAAACAAACAGCATAGAATGTTTTCTTTGATTTTATTCCTATCAATTTCTTACTCCTATATCTATTTATTTAATTTATGAGATTCTTTATATAATTTTTTTATTTTTCTATCTTTAATTTTTTCTTTATATAAATTCTTGATAAAAATAAAAATTTATAAAACATAATAAAAAGTATATATGTATATATATTAAAAACATGTAATTATTTTATGAACAAGATTGGAACGCCGGATATTAAAACATTTTACTATATAAATGCAATAGAGATTTTACACACACAAAAAAGTATTACGAAAGTAGTATTTGAAAATGCGATCTCTTCTCTCTCTAATTTCTTATTAGAACACTAAGCGATATTAAGTTGGAATCTGTGTAGGCGTATATAAAAAAATTGCTTTTTATAGATACAATTACCGTGCATAAATAGGACAAAGTATGTGTAAGCCGTAATTGCTTCATCAAAATTATGTGGAAACCAGAGAAAGAAGTGCCTTCTTGTAATCTCCAGAAGTGTCTCCCTATAATATATATATTCATTAATACAATAATTAAGTACCAACAATTTTTTCTAAATAACAAAACTTGAATTATGTAAAGAAATTTTTTTGGAAAGAAACATAATATTTGGGGAATACACTTACAGCTATCCAGTTTTCCAATGATTTTCCATAGCGTTCCTCGAATGCTTTTTTAATATCGCCCAAGTCGATTTCGCTTCGAGATACAATGATACGGATCAACGTCCGATCCTTCGTGCCTATGCCATGCATACTGGTGTACAAACGTTCAGCAAAGAATCCAACCTTTGACTTCACACATTTTACTGTCAATCAGAAATTACAATGTTAT